AGTCTCCTTCCTTTTCCCTCCATTTCCTTTACCTCACAATTGATTGAAAGGAGTGGCAAAAGTTAGAGGCTTGCGGGGAGAAGTCAGAGGTTTTCATTATCTCTCTTCCAGCAGTAAAAGGGGAAGGGACAGAGAGGAACTCAAATGAAAAACTCCTTCTGAAGCATGGCCGAGTAAAACTAGTCCAGAAAGTGAACAGCAGAAGGTGATGCTATCTAAAAGGAACGCTCTAATTCCTAGGAAAGCAGGCTCCAGCACCTCTTAAAAGAAGAGGAAAATGGAAACGCTGTAATCTAGGGCACACGGGCAAGTTGCCAGCCTCTGCACTTGCACTCCCGATGCCTCAGCTGGGAGGGTAGCTCAGCCAACAGGGCACGCCTTACTGTGAGCGGCAGCCTCAAATCCTGCAACGTGTGCAAAAGTAAGCTGTGTGGGCTCACTCTTTTTTCTTTAAAATGATTTTACGTCTGTATCTGTGTTTTCTCTTGCTCCTTTTTTTTTTTTTAAATCTTGGCTATGGTGAGAATTACTCTTTGGGGTGTGAATGAGTTTCCTGTCAACTGACAAATAGAAGCAGGAGAGGCCTTTTTCCTTTTGGCTTTGGTGCTGGTGATCTTCCTAATTTTCAAGTGACCTCACTGAACTCGTATCAGTATGGTAGGAGGTTAGATACACAGTGCAGACTTTGAATATAAAGAAGCTGGTAGGGTATTCGATTCTCAACATACTTATAAACCTTGACTTTTAAAGAAGTTTCACGCTTATTGTAGGTGTTTTCCTACAGCCACATCTTTACGCCCAGGCCGACTTGTTTCCTTAGGCTGCTATGTGACAGCTGGCATTGGCCTGGTCACAGGGTGTCTTCAGCTCACAGTTCCTGGGCCCAGTTGCCCTCCCTTCTGTTCTGTCAGCCCTCACCACCATGTGTGAGAGTCCCTTTCCTTGGATCCTGGTGCAGAGCTCAGGTTAAGGGACGCAGTCTCCCTTTATGACCTTGTGGGCTTGGGGGTAGGTAGATGCGCTCCTGTGAGCTGAGGGTCCCTTCCTAAGGAAGGGCTTCTCTGTGCTGAGTACTGGGCCTGAGGCGGGAGTCTAGGGGCCCAGAGCCAAATCAGGCAGGCTTCTTGCTCCAGGAGTGTGGATGCCGAGGGGGAGGCCTGTACGCAGGTGCTTCTCTACAATTAACTGCTCTGGAAGAGGTAGGACAGGAGTGGCCCAGGAGCACTGAGGAGGTCTGAAGTGATTCAGCTTCTGGGAACCTTACAGAGGAGGTGATATTTGAGCTCTTGAAGGCTGAGTCAGAGGGCACTGCCGGGCACGATTTCTGGAGAGGTATGGCATGTTCGGGGCACAGTTCTGTGGGGCTGGCTGGGGAGAAGAGGGGTCGGAAGTGAGACGGAAAGGTTGGTAGTACTCTCATAAGGAGCTTGGAAATGACACTAACAGGTGGAAGGAGGGGCCCCGATGACATGTAAGATGGCCTTGGAAGGGAGAGCTGCTGGCAGCAGGCCGGTCTGGAGACTACTGCAGCGTCCTACTGAGAGGTCAGAGGACTTGCTCTACGAGGCAAGGCAGGGTCTGATTTGGAAGATACATACAGAGAGAGAGAGAGGACAGAATTTGGAGACCTATTCGCCTCAGAGGGATGAGCCAGGGAGGACTCTGAAGATTCCATTTGGGGAAACGGTAACTCAAGGTGGAAAATACAAGGAGAAGGAAGAGGTTTCGGAGGAAAGCTAAGGAGTTTCATTTGGACTGACTTGTTGAGTTCAAGGTGACATCTAGGTAGAGGTGTCTAGCAGGCAGTTGGAACTAATACAGGAGCACGGATGTGTGTGTGATGGTTTCTTAGTGAAATCCGAATTCTAGAGGCTCCTGAAGGTGTCGCTTAGATACACTGTGATTGCCCTAGGGCTTTCTCTTACTCGGTCTCTAGGTGCCTGCGTGCATTTGGAAAACAGCAAACCGTACGAGAGGGCATAAACCCTGCCACCTCCTGCATCAGTCCCACTCCCCAGAGGAAACCACTGCCAACAGGGTTTTATGTATTCTTCCAGAAATTTGTCTGGCAGATGTACTCACATCTAAGTATGTCGGTTCTTAGAAAGGATGAATCAGATGCTAACAGAAACTCACGACACACATTGCTCCGGGCATGCACTCACTTTCCGAAATGTTGTGTCGTGTACGGGCCTGGTTTGGGGGGCTCTCTCAGATATCAGTGCTGCCCACAGCTCGAGCAGAAAGTTCTTTTTAGAATTGCTCAGGTTCTCAGCTCAGAATTGTAAGGTGTGTAACCTTTTGGTTTGCAAGACAAGACTGTTAGAGTAATTTGAGTCTTTCTTCTTTTTAAGTGTGAATTTTAATGAATATTTTTCCTTATAAAAATATACAATGGTAATTAACATATATGTATTTACAAATAGACTACATAGATGTGTTTGTTGTTGTTAGGTGCCGTCGAGTCTGTTCCCACTCGTGGCAACCCTGTGTACAACAGAACGAGACACTGCCTGGTCCTGCGCCATCCTCACAATCATTGCTGTGTTTGAGCCCATTGTTGTAGCTGCTGTGTCAGTCCATCTCATTGAGGGGCTTTCTCTTTTTTGCTGACCCTCTGCTTTACCAAGCATGATGTCCTTCTCCACGGACTCGTGCCTTCTGATAACATATCCAAAGTACGTAAGACGAACTCTCGCCGTAGTCCCTTCTAGGGAGCATTCTGGCTGTATGGTACTTCCTCCAAGACAGATTTGTTCGTTCTTCTGGCAGTCCATGGTATAGTCACTATTCTTCACCATGATGAGTGTTATAAAATTCATATAAATTTTGGAAGGCTCGCATTTCCCCTCTGGAGTAGAGCTTTCCTCAGAGCAAAAGTGATTTTTTCATGTCTCTGCTTAGACCTGAATTATCTGTGGGTTGTACTTTTTTATACGGAAACTTTATTTTTTGTTGCTATCTCCTCATCACATTAAACTTTTTATGCATCATTAATTTTGAGATTAATGTAAATTTTACCCCAGTGAATTCACTTTGTTTTTCATTCTTCCTTTTTTTTTTTTGGCATCCTTTTTAGTTATATACCAGTACTAGTTGGTGTGGAGTCAATTCCAACTCATGGCAACCCCATGTGTGTCAGAGTAGAGCTGTGCTCAATAGAGTTTTCAGTGGCTGATTTTTTCAGAAGTAGATCACCAGGACTTTCTTTAGAGGCACCTCCAGGTGGACTTCAACCTCCAGCCTTTTGGTTAGCAGCAGAGTGCATTAACCATTGTGCTACCAGGGACTCCTTTCAGTTACGTAAAACACCCATTGCCATCGAGTTGATTCTGACTTATAGTGACCCTATAGGACAGAGTAGAATTACCCTACAGGGTTTCCAAGGAGTGGAGGGTGGATTCGAACTGCCAACCTTTTGGTGAGCAGCCTGAACTCTTAACCGATGCGCCACCAGGGCCCCTTCATTTGCGTGGTGGTACTTATTTCATCAGATTGCTTTTTTTTTACTTTTCCTTTATAAACAAGGAATGGTATGTTTTCTTGCTCACGTTTCCCTTTTAAAGGAAAACACTGATATCCTAATAGAGAGTGTTGTATTTTGGTCACTTGTTGAGTCCAGATCGCAGAAGGATTATATTTTAGAATCAAGCCTGGGTATGTGGTACTCGAGGAGCCCTCGTGGTGCAGTGGTTAAACAGTCACCTGCTAACTGAAAGGTTGGCGGTTCAAACCTACCAGTTGGTACTCGGGAGAAAGATGTGGCAGTCTGCTTCCATAAAGATTTACAGCCCTGGAAACCCAGTTCTACTGTATCCTATAGGGTCACTATGAGTTGGAATCAACTTGATGGCCATGGATTTGGTTTTGGCTTTTTGACCTACTAATTGTATTTCCTTATGCTCCAGATCTTAGTTTTCTCTGTGTAGTTGAGTGATTTCAGACACATAAAGTTACATTAACATGTGAAGGGGAGCTTACACAATTTCTCTGCTTTCCAGCCTTTATTGGGTCATCGTGTAACTCACAAGGAGCCCTGATGGTGTGGTGGTTAAGCGCTCAGCTGCTAACCAAAATGTTGGTGGTTGGAACCTATTAGCCACTCCACAGGGGAAAGATGTGGCAGTCTGCTTGTGTGAAGAGTACAGGCTTGGAAGCCTGTGGGGCAGTTCCACCCTGTCCTGTAGGGTCGCTATGAGTCAGAATCAACTCGACAACAATGGGTTCGGTTTTGGTTTTGGGATGTAACTCACACGTGTGCCAGGCATGTAGTGGTCACACAGAAAATGGAATTAAATTCCGTTAGCATTTTTAAGTACCTTGATATGCATGGCACTGTGCCAGTAAGGTTATGCAATCCACAGGGATAGAACCCCCCGAAGTATTTAGAAATCTGTATTGGAAATTTATTTTCTAAACATACCAAGATTTTTTTACTTAGTTGTTCTTTGAGCATTTTACACACAGCTAGTTACACAAAGGTGATCTAGATATTGATGTTTGTGTTTGGTGTGCGTAAGAGGATGGCCCTGCAGACCTGAAGGATGCACTGTTCAGCTCACTGTGAGGAATGAATTACAGAGAGAGAAAGAGGCCAGTCCCTTCTGTCAGGAGGCTCGCTCATGTCACCTGGATTCAGTGTCTTTCCTATGTTTGTGTCCACTGGATCATACCTGTCGGCAGGGCCAGGTTTTACTTTTTTTTAATCACCAGCACCCAGCAAGTGTTTTGCACGGGCAGACTGATAAATGCTGCCAAGTTTTCCAATACAATTCCGGTAAGACATCTTAGAATGCCTTATTTTATTTAATGATTTTGGCTTTTTCGATTCATTCTGTACGTCCTCATTTTAGCTTAGCGTGAGTTGTGCCATTCAAGTTAAGGTAACAATCTGTGACTATAAGAATTCTAAGACCTAATTAGATTAGGTTATTTAAGAGGGCGATTTCTCATTACATCGGTCCTGCCTGTGTTAATAACTTTTCCTCCTTGTTCCTCAGCCTGCAAGAAGAAATCAGTGCTGTCTGTGAGCTCATGTCTCCGGGACTGGAGGAGAAGACGTGGACAGAGGTGGTGAACAGGATGGAGAGTGTGATCTGGGAGCTCCGGCCCAGCGCCGACGTGAGTACCTGCCTGGGAGCTGGGTGCTCAGTCACACCCTTGTCCACGGGGTGGGAGAGCAGTGTCAATATCTTGTTCAGAGTCTTCACATACAGGTGGATGTGCATCTGGAGACTTACAGTTTAATTAAATTTCAAAGGTGAACAATTTTCTGCAGCTTTTTGAATTTGGGCTTTCCAATGATTTTTGCTGAATCAAATAAACTTTTTTTGCAGTGCTAAATAGCAACTACTAAAAATGAACTATACTGGGAAAATGCAGAACAGAATTTCAAATCCTCATGGACTCTAGACTCTCTGGAGCCACAGAGGGTAGAAGAACCCCTGAAACTATTGCCCGGAGATAATCTTTAAACCTTAAACCAAAAATGCCCCTGAAGTCTTCTTAAAACCCGTCAATAGTGTAACTTAACTAGTAAAAAAAGGTCTGCCTTGAGTATTTTGCTTTTAAGAACTATCTGTATGGGATCAAATTGACAACAGCAACTGGAAAGATTAGATAGGAACCTTAGGGGACAGTCAGTTTATGTTGAGGAGGGAGGAACAACTGGGAAACGGAGGGTGCGAATGGTTGCACAGCTCGAAGAATGTAATCAATGTCACTGAACGGTACACGTAGAAACTTGAACTGCTGTACGTTTTGCTGTGTATATTCTCAACAACAACAACAAACTAAATAAGATTTAGGAAAAAAATGAACTGTACTTGGGAATCAGCAGTAAAAAGAGAAGGCAAATCGAGCTTGATTGTAGTAGTTCTTTTATGACATGTGATATATCAAAACCGCATTACAGTGTTGTTCCAATCTGTCCGTATAAACAAATACCAGTTGCTTATAGCTGAATGAAAATGCCAAGTGGGAATTTCTTTTGTCATGGGATGTTCATTGTCTTAGGCGAATGCAGGAGGATTTTCTATTTGTATCACAATACCGTTTCTCTCCCTCTCCGATCATGCCTAGTTGCCCAGTATAGCTCCCACCTAGTAAACAAAATGTTTGCCCAAGATAAATAATTCTTTGCTTATTTGTGGTCCTTGTTGGTGGTGGTAAGTTAATACTTCACTTTTCAGGGTTCCTTTGAGGGTATGTTCTAAAATTTAGTGCATTCCAAGAAGTACTTATTAGAATCCATTACTTTGTGTTGTATAAGGTTTCTTTAGACTCGGTCATGGGGTGGCGAAGGGGAAGCCAGGAAGTGTTTTTGTCCAGTTGGTAAAACAGGGAAGTTTCAGGTAAGATAGTATAAGTAGAGAGGGGAGGACACTGGTGTTTTATTGAGCAGCTGCTGTATGTCACATTGCCTCTCCTGGGTGATCTAAATCAGTGGCTCTGGACTGGAGGTGATTTTGTCCCCTAGGGGACATTTGGCCCTGGGCGCGCAGTGGTTAAGCGCTTGGTTGCTAACCTTTAAGTTTCTTGGGTCGAACCTACCAGCTGCTCTGTGGCAGAAAAGACCTGTCAATCTGCTTCTGTAAAGATTTACAGCTTTGGAAACCCTATGGGGCAGTTCTACTCTGTCCTATAGGGTCGCCAGGAGTCAGAACCGACTCGATGGCAACAGGTTTGGTGTTTTGGTTTTTTTGGAGACATTTTTGGTTGTCACAACTGGGGAGGTGCTCCTGGCATCTAGTGGATAAAGGCTAGGGCAGCCTGCATAACAATTATCTAGCCCAAATGTCGGTAGTGCTGAAGTTGAGAAACCCAGATCTAAATAATCTGCATCTTTCTGATGGGGAGCATTTTATCCTTATGTTTTACAGATGAGGAACACGAGGCTGTGACTCGGTCCCTGGTCCATCTTGCCTAGAGGTTGAGCTTTTTCCATTGCTCATCCGTTATTGCAAAATTTCCAGGCCTGGTCTGCGTGCGCATCCGCACACATGCCTGACTCAGCTTTCTCTTGTCCTCCATGGGTGAGATTGAATGTGTCCAGGTTTTATGATACAGCATGATGGTAGAGTAACAGTACCCAGTGTCCTCTGTGGACTCAGCCTAAAGGCCAGCGCTTGTCCCATAGTCGGAGTTACCACGCTGGTGGCACAGAGGTTAAAGCACTCAACTGCTAACCAGAAGGTCGGTGATTCAAACCCACCAGCCGCTCCTAGGGAGAAAGATGTGGCAGTCTGCTTCCGTAAGGATTTACAGCCTTGGAAACCCTATGGAGCAGTTCTGCTCTGTCCTGTAGGGTCGCTATGAGTTGGGATTGACTCGACAGCCGTGGTTTCGGTTTGGTTTAATCTTAACTTAGTAATCTGTGAGAAGGCTCCTGCTGAGAGAACAAAGATGAAGGATTTGTGATTGTAATGTGGCAAGAGCACAGTTTTATTTTATGACTGAGGGTTTTAGATGACAGATGTATGATAAAATCAGTTCTAAAGGAATGTCTCTGGATTATAAGGGGACATTAGTGAGTTGAATATTACTTTTGAAAGCTGTCTAATTTAGTCTATATGTTTCATACTTGAACCTGAAAGTTTAAGCTATGTCGTCAGTATTTACCTATGAGACACAGAATTCCTGCTCGGAAAGCATCGTGTCATGAAAAAATGCTTTTGTAGTACTGAAAATTACCACTAGAGGGTAGCAAAACCCCATATTTCTCCCTCATTTGGTGGCTTTCATCTGATACCTAAGTATAACTTTTTTCTTTTTCAGGTCCAGATATTTGGAAGTTTTAAAACTGGCCTGTATTTACCTACTAGTTGGTACGTTTAAGAAGCTTTCAAGGGATTGTACATTTTACTAGAGTGTCTTCATATTGACTGTTGAATGTATAAAAGTAGAAACAAAACAACCATGCTTATGAAACAAAAATTCCTTTACCTGTATTATTATTTGGATTACCTGGAAGCAGACTACAGCTTCAGATCATCTTCCCAAGACTTGGATGATACAGATGGACATAAGCGGGAGCGTGTGGCCGTGGAACTTGTTGGGCACTTAACTTCCGTAACTGGCTGCACTGCAGAGAGCTGTCCCGCTCCGCAGCTCACCCCGTTAGCACAGATGTTAGTGTCGCACCTTGGTAAGACACCCGTCTATAGTGTACAGCTGGGGATACTCCGCAGCGCGAGGTCCACCCCCGAAACTGCGGCCCCCGGATGCTCTGTTAACCCGGAACTGAAACCGTTCCTGAAGCCCACTCTTCAGACCAAGATTAGACAGGACTATAGAACAAAAAGTAATACACGGGAAGAATATGCTTCTTAGTTCAAGCAGATACTCCAGACCAAATGGGCGGCATCTGTTCGGAGGCAGGATGAGAAGGCAGGAAGGGACAGGAACTGGCTGAATGGTCACAGGGAACCCGGAGTGGAAAGGGGGCGTGTGCTATCACATTGTGGGGATTTCAGTTAATGTCACAAAACAATATGTATATAAATTTTTGTATGAGAAATTAACTTAAGCTGTAAACTTTCACCTAAAGCACAATTAAAAAAAAAAAAGAAAGAAAGGAACGCATACTACTAGATCCTGTTCCATCATCCTGATCCAGAAATCAGAAATTTGGGTACAAAACTCTCCTCTGAGGAAGGTCTGGATCTAAGGATGGGAGCCCTGGTGGTGCAGTGGTTATGTGCTCAGCTGCTAACCGAAAGATTGGCGGTTCGAACCCACCAGCTCCTCTGCAGGAAAAAGATGTGACATTCTGCTCCCGTAAAGATTCACAGCCTTAGAAACCCAATGGGCAGTTCTACTCTGTCCTGTAGGGTCACTATGAGTTGGAACCAACTCGAGGCAATGGGTTTTTAGGTTTTATTCATATTTTGAGTCTTCTCAAATGAGGGCTACCTTGACTCATATCCTGGGAGAATCCCCTTGTAGGAATGGTGACAATTCCCGTAGGGGTGAATACTCGGTCTTTAAGAAGGAAAAACATTCCATCTCATGACTTGATTTGCTTTCCTTCACTCTTTTTTTTTTTTTAAGCTATGTTGAAGTGGATGGATCCTAGCAATTTCCATTCTTCGCACTGCTGTCCTTGGCCCCCAAAGCCATAAAATGTTCAACTTGGATTTCATTAATATTTTTCTTTGTTTAGGTTCTGAGCTTCAGCAAAACCCTAAGAGTCACTCTTTCTAAAAAATTTAAGTAAATTTTATGAACAGGTAGTATATTCACATAGTTCAGGTTTGAAAAAGCACAAAAATAATTAGGTGAAAAATTTCCATCATCCCACCTCTGTATCCACCCCCCGACCCTGACATCAAATCAATTCCAACTTGTAGTAACCCTATAGGACAAAGTAGAGCTGCCCTATAGGGTTTCCAAGGAGCAGCTAGTGGATTTGAACTGCTAACCTTTTGGTTAGCAGCCAAGCTTTTAACCACTGTGCCACCAGGGCTCTCTCTTTAGAGGAAGCCACTGTTACCAATTTTTCAAATATCCTTCCAGAGAGATTCTATGCATGTAAAAGGCAGTGTGTGTGTGTGTCTGTCTGTGTCTGTGTGTGTG